CTATGACATGTTAATTGCAGTTTCACAAGGGAGCCAAAGAGTTGAGGGGCTGGTGGTAAAACATTCTAGGCTTCTGTTTGTTTTATGTTGCAGCTGGGCTGGTGGAGTGAAAACACTCAGACTTGCTGTTAAGCAGTAGCAGCTGTCTCCGAGACATCCAGCCAGGCAACTTATATATGCCTGTCTGGACAGGTACTGGGTCTCCTCTAAAACCGGAGCATGGAGCCTCCCAAGAGAGTGGGGGTTTTTGAAAGTCCCAGTGATGAGTATGTGATGGGTCTTACATTTCAGAGTTGGAAGAGACTGGGAAAGAGCCTCGCGGTGTTCCCTGGGATGGGCAGTGGTGCTGCAGTCTATATGAAAACATGCCCTCTTCACAGTGTTACTGAGAATAATAAAGCACAATGTCTGCCAGGGCCCGGGGACAAATAAGAACAGGTGTGATCTGATCTCTACCCAGAAGGGCAGGAACAGGAAATGATCCAATGGTTGCATAAAACACCTTGTCCTCACTTCAAAGGGAACAGGATGGGGGAGATTTATGGGCATCCCATCAGCAGCTGATATGTCCACCTGGTTCTCCCAGCACGCCAGCTCTGCTGGTGCGTTGCAATGTGGAGGAGTGCCCTTCCGTAAGATGGCTCAGCAGTACACCCACTCTCCTCCCTATGCCTTTCCCTGGCTCTGCAGAGTGTGGGAGGCATCCCTGCTGTTTGTGTCCTCACAATGATGTGCTGATGTGTGCCAAAGGAATCTCTCTGCCAGGGTGACCCGCTGTGGCCAGGCCTTTTGTCCCGGGGGCTGGCAAGTGTTTTTGACACTGTAATACCATGTGGGAATGGGAGTTAGACTCTTGCTTGCACCGTTGTGTGGTTTTGCCCTTTGAGAGGCTGGGGCTGTAGCCAGTGTGTCTCCATTGTGTCCCCTTCTGCTGGGGCAGAGTGAAATGTGATGGAGTAGGTCACTCCCTGCAGCTTGGCATCTGGCTGGAAAGAGCAGAG